TGTTGGGGGCAATATGCTGACTCTCTGTAAACCGCTTAGAGAGGCCTGAAAGGCCTATGAAGCGGTATATAAGTCTACTGCTATTGCTATTCTCTATTTGCTTTTCCTATAGGTTTCATCTGTATGATCCTGATAAAAAAAGTGGCAGAATTAATTCACTTACCAGAAAGAATAAAAGGCATCCACCTCATCGAAGGATGAGTTCAGATCCCCAAGCTTAGGAACATTTTTCTTATTTGACCATCTGTAGCAAATGAGCAAACAAACATACATATTTTTTTTGGAAGAAACCGCATCTCCAGCATTGTTCCCCACATCTAAACAGCTGCATTTTTTAATTTTATTTTAGGGGGATTTCAAATCCAGAAAGAAATAATATATCAAATGGTCTAACATGCTACCCCAAGCAACTAAACTCTTAACATGAAACAGAACTGCAATATGACATCATCATGGTGCCAATGTTACGTTTGTTTAATTTATTAAGGAAGTACACATGGCCATCCAACTCACTCTGGTGGCAACAATCAAGCAAACCACTTGATGGACTCCATATCTCCTTAGGGTCACCAGGCCTGCTGATAAAACCCCTATCTTTGGGGCCTTTCCAAAAGAGCGTCAGAATGGAGGCCAATTTGATCTCCGCAGGGATGATGTTCCATAGGGAGGGAGCCACCACGGAGAAGGCCCTTCTTCTGGGCCCCACTAGATCAGGGGTGTCAAACCGGATCCCACTGCGGCCAGGATTTTGTTTGCCCTTGGGGGCCTGGGATGGGTGTGGCCTACTCCTTGCGGTCTAGTGGGGTGGCGTGGCCGGGGTGGCACGGGATGGTCCCTCGCTGTCTCCAGGATGGCCCTCTGGGACAACTCTGGGCCTATCGCAGGCCATGTGTTTAACACGCCTCCAGTAGATGGGGCATCCTTAAGTAAGGGAACCTGTAACAACCCCGTACGGGGTTGGAACGGGATCCGGAACCCACCACTGCTTCCAACTCTGTTATTCAACGTTTTTGGTATCCACAATCCAGGCAAAGCAATGAAACTGTTTCAATGTCATCCAGATTCCGCCTGTATGTACAGCCGAACAAATTGCTTTACACTCCAGTGTGTTTTCCTGCCAATCTGCCAAACACAAAGGTAGGAACCGACTGTTCTGTTTTTCACCCCCCGTAAGCGGACCTTCAAGGAAATCCAACGACGGCTTGAAAAGATTTGAAAAGCACAATAACATTCCCAGAGAGGGGAAGGAGGAATCCCTGAGAGTCTAACCCAAAAAAAAATAAAAAGGCTTACCTGGCATTCCTTTCAAAAACGGGGGCAAACACCTCGAAGAAGTTTTCCTTGGCTTCGCTTTTGGAAGGAATGGTGTTGTCGAAAGTAGGGTCTATGCTGTTAAACGCTCTTCTTTTCACAGGGTCCGATAACGTTTCGTAGGCTGGAAGGTTAAAATTAGACATTGATTTATTAAATGGATAGAACAGTGTTTCTCAACCTTGGCAACTTGAAGATGTCTGGACTTCAACTCCCAGAATTCCCCAGCCAGCGAATGCGGAAAAACAAATCTCCCTCTGCCTCCCAGCAATTTGCCTCCTTGCAGCAAACAGCCAGTTTCACTGTCAATTTCAGCAGGGGCCTCCCGATCATCAGCTGTTTCAGGCTGCAGGGATTGCTGTAGCCTATTGCAGCCTCCGCTAACCCCATTTTCCCCGTCTGCTGCAAGGAGGAGTATTGCTGGGAGGCAGAGGCCAAAGGGTGGGGGCCGGTGGGTGGGTGGGGCTACATTCAGTGTATAAGATGCACCCAAATTTTCACCCTCTTTTAGGGCA